TGGCAGTTCTTTCACACCAACTTCAACATGGAACGGGCCCTGAAGATTATCGAGGACTGCATCGAGGAGCGGCTGCTATGGGATCGCTTTAGCCGTAACTACGACTCCTGGCGGGCGCTGCAGCTGGTCGAGGGCCTGGCGGCCGAGATTCGCGACAGGGTCAAGAAACTAAACCATAGACGGTGAGTCTTAAGCTGGTTCAAAGTATCATAACCTGTGAGTGTGCCCTTAGCCACCGCATCGTCTGCCTGCTGTCCATTGTGGAGAAGCAGAACCAGGGCATATACCAACGGATGTGCCATCTGATGGACGAGAAGCGGGACAACTTCACTCAGCTGGTCTTCGAGCGGCCTACTTACTTCATGATCGTGGTCCTTTATCTGGTGTACAAGGATTAGGCGTCCAGCCTCTCTCCTGGTGTTTGTTAATTACTGTTGTTAGGCTAAGTTAGGTGTTGATCCGGAAACGGCATTAGGTTATGAAAAAATTAAAATAAAAACGTACAAAAAATTGGACATTACTGGCGTCCTCAACTATAGGCCCCGGCGAGATTCGAACTCACGATCTCCTGTTTACTAGACAGGCGCTTTAACCAACTAAGCCACGGCGCCGTTGTAGCATCGGGCGTTGAACTACCCAATTCGAGCAAAAGTTTCCTCCGGGCGTGTTCTCTATCGGTTTAGAAGTCAATTTGGAAAATTAATATTGGTTCAGTTGTTTCGAGTCGAAGATAAACAATAAGAGATACGCGTAGGTTCTTGGCAACTCTTGAGATACAAGATTGCAGATAGTTTCTATGAGCAATGGGAAAGCTTTTACCACGCAAGTTCTGATATACATAACTGTAGGGATAAAGCTTTCAAATGGTGACTATGAAAAGTACTTAAAGCTTTAGCCAAACTGTTATACTACCGTTATCTTTCTACTGAAAGCTTGGAAAAATGCTATGAAGTTTTCTTTTTATTATTTTATAATTTGGCTAACTACTAATTATACCATTTGTTATTGAGTTATCTTTATTATAATTATTATAAAATTTAAAAAATAACATAATTAAGAACAACAGGAAGTTTTTTTTCTTAAAAATACTAAACTATATTTAAACTAGCCTTAAACTTTACTTATCTTATGGTTTATTTAGTTTAAATACATTTCAATAGAATATACCTCGATATAAATAAGCTTTTCCTTCCCCCTTAGTACTTTCCAGTGAAGCTACCCCATCGTAGAAGCTTTTCCTTTCGATTGCTCGGCCGTTGAAATAATAATAATTCCCAGATTGTAATGATTATTGAAACAATTATTGACGCAATTGAAACGCTAATGGGTTACAGAGCGTCAGCTGGCAAGTGAAACCATAAACAGCCATTAGGTGCACAGAGTGTAGCAGTAGCAGGGGCCACAGAGGGTTAAATGTGCACATTGCGGTTAAAATAATCGAGAAATATGGATGGAAAAATATGAAAACACCCCGCACCATCACCAGTGCAGGGTTAGGCCCCGGCGAGATTCGAACTCACGATCTCCTGTTTACTAGACAGGCGCTTTAACCAACTAAGCCACGGCGCCCACGAAAGCTTCCGCGCGAGAATGCCGTTCTTGGGCTAGCGATGCTGGGGAGAGGAGTGTGCGGCAAGTTCATAAATAGTTCTCAGCCCCGTGTGTGTGTGCGAAAGAGTAGAAGATACTTAGATACTTATGCTGACACAGTTATGGGAACAAGAATAGGAGCGGGTTGTCTTTGGAACTTTAAATGTCTAGGAGAGTAATAAATACTTTAATATTTAAAGTGAACAATTTATTTATTTATTTCTGCAATGGTGGGTATTATAAAATTATAATTGCTTTAAGTTCAGGCTGACTGAATTTGTATAATATAATTTTCAATAATTTCCTTATCAAACTATAATTAATCTTTTTAGGTTTAATATTTTCTGGTTTAGCTTTCCTAATAAATACAAAACAAAAACTAAAGCGATCAAAAAATACATATATCAACAAAATTAATAATTATTAATTGAATAAAAAATTAGAGAAAGAGCTCTATGTGTATGTTTACTGAATATCAAAGATGGGGATCAAGTCTTTTAGTATTTTTAGCTCCCATTTATATTCCTATGCTTCTAAATATTGGGATTGATTGATAAGTTAAAAATTTGTTATACATTTTATATTCTATTACTTCATTACCCAATAATAATTAATTCTTGTGTTTATAATATTTTCCACCTTAGATCTCTCAATTAAAAAAATAGCTGAAACATAATATTATAAAACATATTATAAACGGAGTATACAAATTAATAAATTAAAAATCATAGAAGCATAGTGTTACAATTATGAGTGTAAACTTTCTGAGCTAGGTTAATAAATTAAACTAAAATTAATTTAATTAAATCTACACTTGGCAACCAAGTCTCTAAGTTTTTTACCACCACTGTAGATACTTATGCTTCGGATACCCATATGTATTCATGGTGAAAAAGTTTTATTGTGGCGCAGAACTAGTTATGTAATCTATGCCATATTTATCTACAACTTGTGCCGTATCGTTTGCCGAGACGACAAAAGTATTTATAAGTAGACGTATCTGCTGGCTATTTAAATACTTGCCGCTGTGCCTGCCAGGCATGTTTGTCTTTCTGCGGCTCGGCTGTAGGAAAAATGAAGAAAAATGCAAATGTTGCTGCTTTGGCCAAATGGAAATTATTTGTACTTTTCGCACACACACACACACACACACATAACACATCCAGGAGAGCTGAGCAAACTTGGGCACTCGAAATGTATCTTTGAAATCGCCGGGGAACAGCCCAGAGGCAGAGCGTTGGCTGCTCCTTCTTTGGCATCGGGCATCGGCTTATTAGCAAGTCTTTGCTGCTTGTCAAAGAGTTCAGTGGAGCAGCAAGAGCACGAACCAAGCCAAACCAAACCAAACCGAAAGAGCCTCTGGTGATTGTTAAGTATCTAAGCCGCGTTCCGTTAGAGCCGAATGTCATTCCTGACCAGGAGAGATGGCCCCGGGTCACGGGCCTGGGAAATTAGGAAAAATTGTGAGTCAACCCGAGTGCATTTTGGTATCTTGCGTGTCGATAAATCAGACTATCCATTTAAAGAGCCTTCCTAGGCCCATTAGCACCGAATGCTCGAATAGTTATGCAGGCCTCATCCCCATCTCGTGTCCCGTTGTCCATTGTCCCAACGAAGAGCAACAGTTTAGCTGCGACTTCCGAGCGTTTACCAAACTAATTGCCCGAACTTAGTTGCTCATCAAATTGCCGCATCATTTTACGCAGATTTTTATCGCACCAGCCCGGCTCCATCCACGGTCGGGGACACTCTCTGGCTTTGGCCGGAGGGGGAATCCCACTCACTACAACTGCGAGTCGAGCCAAGTATCTAATGCGTTTCCTGTGTTTCAGCCATGTAACAACAGCCATCGGCCCGGTGTCGGTGTCTGTATTTGTGTATCTACATGTTTCCATCTCTGTTGGCCTACTCTGCTCCATCGGGAGTATTAACTGGCTGATTGTATTCGACAAATACAAGTATATTCATTTCAAAGAACTAAGATAGTGAACCAATTCTTTAGTTAAGTATTAAGTTTAATAATAATGTTAATATTAAATATATTGAAATTAATGACTAAGGTTTGACACCTATAACTAAACCCTTCTTCGTAAACATTCTTCTGATAATGTGGTTATGATATATGATATATGGATATTGTTTCATTACTTAGAGTATTGGTCAAAGTATTTGAGATATTTTACCTTTCGTCCAATCTAGTACCACTAATTTTTTCTGCTAATAAGTTTTAAAGCAAACTATTAAAGCCCTTTTTGAAAGAAACTATTTGTCCCACTTAATTGGAATTTAGAATCTACATTTATAGTGGTATATGTAGAAAAATATTACTTTTAAGTACTTAGAATAGCAAAAATTTCTAAAGTAATGGTTCATTGGTAATAACAACTGATTCCATAATCTAAAAGAGTACAGTTTATTCGATGTTTTTCCCAGAGCTGCACTCTAGCCTCTCCCCGATTATAACATTGTAATTTGGCATTGGCATTGGGAAGCCAACGCTTATCGGCACATGACTCCAATAAATTCGCTTTCGCCTTTCTCACACCCTGCTACTCCTCTGCTATCTGGCATCTCACTCAACCCGGGACCCATGTCGATCCTGGGCTCCCAATTCCAATCCCCATCGCAGCGCTATACCACTCCCCCCGATAAATGCGCAGCTATTGAGTTTTTACGCATTTGGAAAACCTCCGAAAAGGATATGGGTAAGGAGCTGGAATAGGAATCGCGTGGAGCTGGAGCAGGATAAGGATTACAGCCTGGGCTGCTGGCGTTTTGCTCGGGGCTGTCGGCTTAGCTCTCTCCTCTCTCTCTCGTGCAGTGAGTGTGTGGTGCGGATTTCCTCGCTTTTGTGCCAGGATGGGGAAAGACAAATCTGCTTTTGTTTTTATCTGATGCCGTTTCGTATTTAGCCATCTTATCCTGGTGGGAATGCGAGCACATTCGGCTGGCGTCGAAAGTCGGATTAGGCAACCGGAAAGTCCGTGATAGCCTGGCTTTAACGATGGCCGCGAGTTGAAATTTTAGTAATTATTATTGGCCACAAAAGGGCCGTAAGGGCCGCCGTTAAGGCCGCGGAACCCCCATAACCCTAATTGGGCGACATTTCCCAGGCAATTATAAACAGAGGGCCCCCTGAAAATAAAAGTGAAAGCATTAATTGCCTGAACTTGACTGTGAGGAGATCCAATTTAATCGCGGTCCCTCAGACATTAAGCATCGTGGGTGTAACTGTTGGGGAATGGAAATCGTCCGAAGGTAGGAACCAGCTGAACCTCAAATCGAAGAGTATGGGCAGAAATCAGTGCTCCTGCATAAGCTTCATGACAAGGAAGATACTTTTTTTCTAGTTCCAATTTCACAAATTCCTTTGCTCTGAAAGTAGGCTGCGACTGAGCGCTCCACCAGTCAGTCAGTCCTATAGTTCTCTTCAATCATCTCGCTTGTTCGTGCAGTCTGACTTGTTCCAAAAAATAATATAAGCCCGTGGAAAAATATTACGATATTTTGCTAGCAAACATGTTTCGCTCGCGTGTGAGCAAGGCGGTCCTGTCCAGTCGCTGTTTTACCCGGATGTACTCCAAGGACGTGCGCTTTGGCCCCGAGGTCCGGGCCCTTATGATCCGAGGCGTAGATGTGTTGGCGGATGCCGTGGCCGTCACCATGGGTCCGAAGGGCCGCAGTGTGATCGTCGAGCGGCCGTGGTCCTCGCCGAAGATCACCAAGGACGGCTTCACCGTGGCCCGTTCGATTGCTTTGAAGGACCAGCACATGAACCTGGGCGCCAAGTTGGTTCAGGATGTGGCGAGTAAGACGAACGAGACTGCCGGAGATGGCACCACCACGGCCACAGTGCTGGCTCGAGCCATCACCAAGGAGGGCTTTGGCCAAATCACTATGGGTGCCAATCCGGTAGAGATTCGTCGCGGCGCCATGCTGGCCGTGGAGGTCGTGAAGCAGAAGCTTAAGGAGATGTCCAAGACGGTGGAGACCCGCGAGGAGATCCAGCAGGTGGCCACCATATCGGCCAATGGCGACACAGAGATAGGCCGTCTCATTGGCGAGGCCACCGACAAGGTGGGTCCTAAGGGAACCATCACAGTGAAGGACGGCAAGCGCCTAAAGGACGAACTGTCCATCATCCAGGGCCTGCGATTCGATACTGGCTATGTCTCGCCCTTCTTCGTGAACAGCGGCAAGGGCTCCAAGGTGGAGTTCTCCAATGCTTTTGTGCTGATCTCCCTGAAGAAGATCACATCGCTGTCGCAGATCGTCAAAAGTCTGGAGCAGTCCGTCGGGCAGCGTCGGCCACTGGTCATTATAGCCGAGGACATCAGCGGGGAGGCCCTCAATGCCTTGGTGCTGAACAAGCTCCGGATAGGCCTCCAGGTGTGTGCGATCAAGTCGCCCAGCTATGGGCAACAGCGCAAGGATCTGATTGGGGATATATCGGCTGCCACCGGAGCTACGATTTTCGGCGATGACATCAACTACTCGAAGATAGAGGACGCCAAGCTAACCGACCTGGGCCAGGTGGGCGAGGCGGTGATTACCAAAGACAGCACCATGCTTCTTCAGGGCACGCCCAAGCCAGGCCTGCTGGAAATGCGCATTCAGCAGATCAAGGACGAGCTGGCGGACAAGCAAACAAAGCCCGAGCAGCAGGACCGTCTGCGCCAGCGCCTCTCCGCCCTAACCAAGGGTGTGGCCGTGCTCCACATCGGCGGGGCCAGCGAAGTGGAAGTTAGCGAAAAGAAAGACCGGGTGGTGGACGCTCTGAATGCCACCCGAGCGGCCATTGAGGAGGGCATCGTGCCCGGTGGCGGCACCGCCTTTCTGCGCTGCATCCCGCATCTCCTGAAGCTCAAGCTGGGGAGCTCGGATCTCCAGAAGGGCGTTGAGATAATCTGCAACGCCCTGCGTATGCCCTGCCTGACGATTGCCCAGAACGCCGGAGTGGACGGCGCCACGGTGGTAGCCAATGTGCTGAATGGTTCCGGAGACTTTGGCTACGACGCCATGGGAGATGAGTACGGCGCTCTGGTCGACAAGGGCATCATCGATCCCACCAAGGTGGTGCGAACTGCCATCTCCGATGCCGCCGGTGTGGCCTCGCTCCTCAGCACCACCGAGGTGGTCATCACGGACTCGCGCGACAACGATCTTCTGGCGAAACTGGCGGGAGGTGGCGCTGCCATGGATGGTCTGGACATGAACATGGGGGGCTTGGAAGAGCTGGCTGCTCTGAGTGGACTGGGTGGAATGGGTGGCATGGGTGGCATGGGAGGAATGGGTGGAATGGGTGGTATGGGTGGTATGGGCGGCATGTCTGCAATGGGTGGCGGTGGAGACGCCTCTGACAGTGAGTGTCCCTCTAACGAAGAGATGAACCAAATGGTCAAGGCAATTCCCGGAATGGAGAATGTAGAGGTGCGTGATATAGACGGTAGTATGATGTAGAGTATCTTTTTTTTCTTTTGTATTCTGCATCACTTATCCCTTTTGATCGAGTGAGCCTAAATTTCCTTTGTTTCCAATAAAAATTCTTCAGTGTTGTATTCGAATCGTAATTAATTCTCTGTTTATCTTTCAATAAATTTTGGAGGGGAACAGCTCTCTCTAACTTTAGGAGCATTTGGGGTCTGGCAGAGAGAACTTTTTTGAAGCGACTGTCGCTTACACTGATAAATCCATACAATATAAATATTTTATCTACTTAAAGTTTCGATAAATAAATGATTATTCTATTTTCAATATGATATTAAGTCGAGATATCGTTCTATATTCACATGGTATATAGCCTCGAGGTAGTTTTTATAGCTAAAATTGCACATATTCCATCAAAAAGTAGGCACATTTTTTATTGCCAAACTTTATTTATAACGATTGCAGCACAAGTTGTGGGTACCATCCAGATTTAATTTAAGTTTAATGTGATATGGGCATGACAGCAAGTGCTGGGATCGTTAAATCAGAGTTTAACTGATTTCCTTGCCGTCGCCGTCGGTTTCTGCTCCCAATTTAATTGAGTTAAGCGAATCTGTTAGCCCCCTCGTTTCGCTTTCAATTAAATAAACAACTTTTCAGCGGCTGCCAGGCTGCCTTCCCGCATCCTTCGCCGTTGTTATGGCATTTTAACCCCTAATTTATTAATGACTGCCGGCATTCATCAGAGCAAAAAGTTCATATTTCAAAAACTGCCGCAGAAAGGGTTGGAAATTATTGGGCGCCATTTGATTAATGACACTTGCTGCTCCACCGAGGGGGGAATCGGAAGGAGCTTCCGTCCATGGGCTTGGGGGATGAATGAAGGATCTCCGACACCCAAAATGTGTTCCATCAGAATATTTGCCAAGTTTCACTTTTCGTCGAGTCCTGTCACGTGCAATCTGCAGCCGGGTCCGGGACCAGGATGCCGTAGCTTATCCATAACAATGCCCTACCCTCCGGGATGTTTCTGCATACCGTTGCGCATTGTGACATGCCAGATGAATTTGTCCGAACATGTGTTCAGCTCCTGCTGCAGCTGTTCCAGGACCCCAGTCCCCAGTCCCCAGTCCTTGGGGTGGAACTGATACAGATAAATTTAATTTCGTTCGCTCTGTTTGCCTGTCGCAGGACGACAGCCATTGAACTTGCATGCCAACACGAATTTTGATTTTTCTTGCTGCTCCATCCGTGACAGCCTCAGTATCCGTATCCTGCCGTGGAAACAGGCCGCCCTACATTGCTAGTGGAGACTGTCAGGGGGGCTGCTATCAGGGGTTATTGGCATTATAAACACGTAGCCATGCATACGACTCTCTCGCTGATGTTATATCATTTCATAAATGGGTTTATTTGTGGTCTTAATAGAGGCTTTAGTTCAACTGTGGTCAATGTGGTTCTAAGCTTGGGTGGACAAGTAGGGGTTTGGTGATTTAACAGACCACGATATCGCTATTTACTGGTATATAATCTCCAGAGACGACAAAATTGAACTCATCATAAACATTTAAAATATTTTAATAAACATGTACAGGTTTAAGCAGAACATATATTAACGTTTAAGAAAGCTGTTCTTCTATTGTAGCCTTAAAAAAATGACAGTATAACAAAGAAAATCTACATCTTCCGTAATTTTTGTTGAACTAGAGGTTTTACTTCTAGAAGTAGCATTGGCTCTCTTGACAGAATGTGTCCATGAGTATACTTAAACATTTCCTTTAAATTCCCTAATTTTATAAACGATTCTTCACCTTTTGCCATGCCAACACTCAGTCGCCATTCGTGACAAAACAGACTCTATCTCATTCTGAATGCCTCTCTTTAAAATTAAAGTTCATGACAGTTCGATGAATAGTTTATGACAGATTCTTGTCCTACTGATGAAAAGTTGATGAGTAGGTTGATAAATTATTAATGAATCATGTCGATGAATTTTTGGCCTAAAATGTTGAGGCCAAAACCCAAAGATTTTGGTGTTGAATAGTTAATAAAAAATGTATAAATGGTAATGGTAATTTTATCACTTATTAGTTAATATTCATCAATGAATTTTTACCAATTCCGACGTTTTGATGCACTTTCGATGATTTACTGATTGCACATACTCACTAGTTGTTTTGTGTGATCTCATACTATGATATGTATTGTATTTTTAGATTTTTACGCTCCCAAATTGCTTTAGTATTTCAAGTGCGCTTTATGTATCTTTTACATTATAAGATCTTTGCTTAAACCACTATAGTTCGAAAATGAGGTTGCCTTAAAAGTTGCAAGATAACATACCGCAAAATCCATCTCCACATCCCCCATAAAAGCGTTGAGAACGTGGCTTTAGCATTTTCAGCTTCCCGAATCGAATCCGTTCGCATCTTAAACTTTTCTATGCATGTGAGCTTGTCGCTTCCATAAATCACACAACGACGGCAATTCCGAATAAGTTTCCATTCGCGGCATAAATCTGAATATTGCGGGGAATCCGATCGGAGCAGACAACAACAAACCTAATCCCTGGGCAAACGTGACTCAATTATATGGGCAACCATCTCTGCCATCGCCATGTGTGTGCGGGTGCCACTCAGATTTCATATGATGTTTTTTACACAATGCATAATTCGGAGCGAATTTATGTGGAAAACAATAAAATTAAATTGTTTTCGCATTCGACATTCAAAGGCAGCGCCCCGGACTGGCAACTGCTGTTCGCATAATGAACTCATCTAGACGAGAATAATAAATTTCCCCAGCACAGCATCCGTGGCAGAAAGAAATGGCGCAGCCATTTCTGGGCACTCCCCCATTCCGTTCCCTGGCAAGGAGCACTCACATCGCCAACTCCTTTGGCATGGTCGTATGTGATTTTATTCCAGGATCCATCCGTCCTTCGCCTTCCTCCTGCTGCCAGGTCGTAAACCACAAGTGCCCGCCTTCAGTCGGGCTATGCTCCCTGAGTTTGTGGCAGCGACTTTGTCACTCGGCTGCTTCCGAATCCTACATCTGGTGGCTCCTGCATCCTGGCTCGTGCCTCGTCGAGTGTTTAACTCATGAACGCCCACTTTGATTTCCATTTGAATTGTGCGCACAGACGGCGACGCGAGCCACTTGTAAAGTTGCCATATGTGCCACCGATTTATGGCAGCGGCAAGTGCTAGAATCGGAAATGGCAAAGGAGCTCCCGAGCCCAGAGGGATGTTCAGCGACCTGAAATTTAAACAAAACTTACTCTTTCTGGTTATTTTACACGTCAGGTTATATCTTGGGGAATCCTTCATGAGGTTAATTACATTTAAATATCTATTAATATACATATGATTTCCTCTCCTTTAGTGAGTATAACCAAAGACTCTTTAATAGCAAAATGTCTAAAGACTTTACATTTAAATTGCAACATTTGTGAAGAGTTTGGAGCCACCTCCAGAGTCAGCACTAAGAATGGAGTGCAACAAAATCATCTTTTAGTTTATTGGTTTTTGATATACAAGCAGGTTCGAGCTGGTTTTGAATCCGTTACTGATCCATCTGGATCGTTCTGGTCCCCTTCAACTTGGCCATTCCCACATCGTCCTCCTGCTCTGAGCCGGGGAAACACTTAAGAATACTTTCACCTGCTGCTCAGACGATTCAATTAAATGCAATTCGCACGCACACATGCGACTGTCGTCCTGCCATCTTGCCATCCTGGATACCGCTTCTACTCCTACCCGCCTGTCATGAGTTTCTTTGAAAAATAGATTTCTAAAACGTTTAAGCTGCAGCATGTGTCTTGAATTTTAAACCTCCGGACACCCCCCAAAAACATATTAAAATTGCGCCAAGGTGAATGCAAGCTAGACAGCCACCCCCGGGAACCCAGAATCTCACCCAGAATCCCAGGATGCCGGATACGGGAGTCCCGAAATGGCAGGACCTCGAGCATATGCCTTGGCCGCCAAATAGCACAAACGTGACCAAACTTTTTGTGACTCTTTGTGCATTGTTGGCAGGCGATCATTTATCTTAAATGCCAGGCCATAGAAACGGCATGGGGAGTCCTTTATGCGGTCCCCGCCTTGGACACCCTATAGTCGGGGTATGCTAGACTAAAGGAAACAATTTCAGATTTCTATATATTTTAGAAACATTTTTATAAAGAACTCTTAAGTGTGCAATTTAAATGAAAGCAGAACGTTAAAATAAATTTACCTATCATTCAAAACTTTAATAGATTATATTATGTTATATCCAAGTCAGTCTCAAATGAAAGGTGAAAGCAAATGTGGAATCAGTTCCTTGATTATCAGGAATCTCAAGGTCTGGACAGAGTAAACACTTTATTCTTCAGGCCTTCTTTTTCGGCTGCTGGGCAACCAAGCTTCTTGGCCGACCGGGGGAAGTTTTCCAAGGTGAACGCGGGTTGCCTAATAAGGAGCATTGTGGATGCCGGAATTCATGGCTCTAAGCGGCTTTGCAGGCAGGACAACCCGTAATGGTCAAAGCCCCGAACGAAATGGAAATCCCGCAGTTAAAAAGGAAAAGTTTTCGCCGGGCAGAAAAAGTTGATTCATTGAACGGAAGCGAAGTTCAAATATACACATTTTGCGGGTCAGGATCCCTGGGATCCTTTCTTACCCGAAGTAGCTGCGCTTTAATTTTAGCCAGAAACTTTGATTCAGTTCAAAGTTCCCCCATCCTTTCAACCCCTTTTTCCTGGCGCTGACACTTTTCCATCTAATTTAAAACCAAAGTTGGCCAAAGTAGTTTCGCCCCCCGTTCATATTTGCATTGCAGCTGAGGCTTATAAAACTTTCTGACAAAACAATTACGGGGCATGCATAGATAAACAAACAATATATAGCCCCGCTCCCGGGGCCTGGCTTTTGTTTAAAAAGAACTTTCGGCATTTTTGTTTGTTTGCTCAGCGACTTTGTCTGGAATCCGGCTTCCTCCTTGGACGGATATTAAAATTGCAAAATTTTTAATCTTTTTTGCGAGGAGCGTTTTACATATTCTATAGATTCCGGCGCACGACATAATGTCCCTATTGGGCGTTCGAGCTCCTGTCCTCCTTCGGTCCTGGCTTTCCGGAATCCCACCATCGTGCTGGCGA